GCTGAATTGTCTTTTTTTGTCTTAGGATCATTTAAGTGTTTATCATTAAAGTTTTTTGTTACACATCCATGTGAATTAGGATTTAGAACATATTACCTTTAGCCTTCTGCTTTTCTTACTGGCAGTGTGTTCTAGCAGAGGGAAATGAAAATTGTTGACGTGGATGTTACTGAACATGTTGGTTATCCTTATGATGTGCAAAAAGAGTGGCCAGGTTGAACTGCAAATATTATTCAGAAAGCAGAATTATGGGGCTTTGGGCATTAGTTTTTGCAGCACTGAATTGCAGACGTTGAGACTAGAATGAAGGAGGAACCTGACATCTTGATTGTAAAATTCAGAAAAAGTATACCAATCAAATATGTGTTTCAGTAATATTGCTTAGATAGCAGAAATTAGTATCTCTTACTGTCATCACTGCACAAAGTAGTGTTTTACTTGTATGGTTTACCTGTATGAAGTAAAGAACAACCTAGAAATGAACTTGGCCCTTTTGCTCAGTGTAAGCAAAACCAGGCTTATAAAATATATCATGTCTGCAGATGAAATTTCCTAAACCTATGGCAACTCACAGGCCTTTGGCATTTGATCAGTGATCTAAAATCTTTTGACTTTGTATGTATTTTGGAACTGTAGTGCTGCTGCTGTGTGAAGTATTCATTCTCTTTGAGAGGCTGTTGGCTAATTCCATGCAAAAGTTCAGGAAAGGCTAGTGAAGAACTAGGTACAGTTTTTAAAAAATGTTTTTTCTAGTGTCCAATGTATGTTCTAATAAAAAAAAAATTGAGCACTGTACATTAATTTCAGAGTGAAATGTAATTTCCAGAAGTCTTCAGAAATTTTGTCAGTTCTGTTAACTATTTTATCAGTTTGTGTGGGAAAATATGGAAATGGTTGTAAAGAACATTTCAGTTTATGTTCAGGAAGAACTCTTAGGAGTACTTTACGCAGTACTTGGCTAATTAATTAAATAGATTCTTTTTCTGTAGCTTGATCATTGATAAACTAGTCTTAAACTACTTTTGAAATTTTGTATTAGGATCTAATGCAGTGTAAATAAATCTTTTCAAGTAACACTAAATGTGTACTGTAGCTGTGAGGGTATGGTGAAATGTTTCTGTGTAACAGATATGCAGAACAAGTACAAGTGTTCTCATAGAGAGTAAGATATTAATATGAACACAATGAATTATTCAGAGGCTAGCCTAAGGATTTACAGGATTAACAACTTGTTTACGTGACTGGGCTGAGAGAAGACAGGGGTATAGTTTATTACGTTCTCAGGTTGATATCTTCTCTTGAACTTCATTTTGCTAAAAGGTGAAACCGATGAAAACATTATTGCTATCTTGCACTAAAATCAAGACCAAAGATAAAACCCAAGGATTCATAATTGGGATAAAAGTGCTCAATCCTCCCAAATATTAAAAGGATTCTCCTGCTTCCCTCTTTCCAACTCCTTCCCCCTCCTCTTCCTGCCCCCTCTCACTCTTCCCCCCCCTTGCCTCAAAGTCTGAGAGACAAATTTAGGAACTCATGTTTCAAAGGGAATATCTGCTGGCATTGATTAACTGCTTATTGTACATTTCTGTGTGTATTGGAGGTGCTCGGCATGGTAAAAAAGAACTGCTAGCACCACTTTGTGGCAAAATAACTTGAGACGAAGAAAAGTAGTATGCTAAATTGTTTGCATTTTGACTGGTTTCTGCCACTTTTCAGGACTGGACAATGCTGGAATCAGTCCATCTAATAAAGATTGATAGGAAGATGGAGAGCATATTTCTTTGTTTTATAGATCTGTATGCTTACTGGGTCTGGAGTAGCCATGTATATAATCAGACACTCTAATGAGGTTTCAGGATGGTTCTTAATTAACGAATTAAATATCACTATCAATTGTATTAACTGCTTTATTTACTTCAGAAGGATGTTTGTGCCTTATGTGCCATTAACATAAGGATTGAGAATATTGTATTTACCTGCTTTCTTCCCTTAGATCTCACAGCTAATGCTTAGATACATGAGAAAAATTATTCTGCAGTTAAATGTTTGCCTGGAGGTCTCTTCTCTCTCTGGCCATGCTCCTTTGCCATTTTCTGCATGGATGCAAACTCAGGCTATCCAGCTCTTGCCAGTTTTCCTGAGACTGACATTCCGTTGAGGAGTTTGAAAGTATTGTAATTCATCTGCATGGCAGATGAGCATATTTCTTTATTTAGATAGCTAGAACAAAGCATATAAGAAAAAGAATTTTTCTTTATGGGCAATTTTATTTTTACCTAAACATTCATCTTTCGTGTGCATCAGATGCAAATCTACATTCACCTCTCACTTTCTTCTCACTGACTGATTTTCCTGTAGTGCCATCTCACTGCCTTGGGAGAACGCTTCTTTTCTACCTATGATTATTCTGTTAATGGTGTATGGGGGTTTTTGTTTTGTTTATTTTTTTGGGTTTTTTTTTGGTATGTCCTTCTCTGTACTGGTACTATTTTTTAACATTTAACAATTTTCTGGGAGGTGATGGACTTTGAAATACTTTTTCCTCTTTCTGTCTAATTTATCACATATTCTGAAAACCACATTTTTATACTTGATTGACTTGTGGCTTAATTGCTGAATTTTCTACTATGTGGGTCACAATCTCAAGTCAAATAAATGTGTTTCAAGGTTTTCTCAATTTAACTCTAGAATATTCCAGTTATTACAGTTTTATACAACTTCTCAGGTTTTAATCTGAAGTTAGAATTTTTAAGGAAGAAATATTTATTGTGTATACCAAAAAAAGCCTATTTATCCTGCAATAGTTGTTTAGTAACAAGATAAAGATGTAGGTTTGTTGTTTGTTTTCTTCAGGCTTGTGCTGGGTATTTGTTGAAGCCTCAAAAAGTTCAAGTCTTTTAGACTTAAAGCCTCAATCGTTTTAATTCATCAGTTTTAACACCCTTGGAAAATCAGGGAACCTAGAAAGAGCTCTTTTCTTTTTGTTTGCCAAATGGATTAGTGAAAACAAGTGTTTAAAGGACTTACTACTATGAGGAAAAGTAAGAATAGTGACACGAGCCAAGGAGAGACATTGAGCATAGGCACATAGACTGCAGTATGTCTTTAACAGGACAGAGCATTTCACAACATTTCTCGACAAACTGAAAAGTCAAGGTAATAGTAGGCTCTGTGTTCCTTTTGGGGGGGAAAAAGAAAATTTAGTGCTGGCTGTCAGATTGCTATGAGTTTAACATGCAGAAGGCTGAAGGACAGTAAAAACTGATAAAGATTTTCCCACTGATTTTGTATGTTCTGTTGATGGAAAGTATAGGCTTTTTATGTGTTGAAACATTTCCTTATAAATAGAAAGCTGAAAGTGAAATTGTTGCTAGCTATTTTGTAGAAAATTGAACCAAGTCTGATAATGATCAAGTAGGATCACAAATGAGTCTTAACTACATTTAATGCCATCAGGGAGTGTGTAAGGTTGTAATGTTCATGGAATATTGTAAACTATAAACTATTATAATAAATAGAGATTTTGAGCTTGTGGGAAAGGTTAGAGAAGAAACTTGCCTCGGTATAAATGAGACAGAGTTTAACCTTTGCTTTAATATCACCTAAAAGCTGCTACTGGGTACCTTGTATCAAATAGATTCATGAATGCTGTTACAGTGAAATCCTATCATAGGAAATTATTTCACTACAAGCTGAGTCATTTTCTTGTAATTGGCCTTGCCTGCTGTAATTATAATACACACATTGCGATGCACTGAAACAGTTCAGAATGTTTTTGGTTTTCTGTATCTGCTTCTAAGCTAACTATAAGCAATTTCCTTTCCCAACACATTAAAATACGCATTTTTCATCCTGCAATAAAATTTTATTTTTAATTTTTTACAAATAGTGTATAATAACAAGGTGAGTATGCACATATTCAACTACACTTCTTTTGCCTTTTTAAGGTTAATTATTATTAGTCCCAATTAAAAGCTCCCAATTGCAGTGTTGTATTCTAATTCTCATAAAAACTATATATTTAAGTGCAATTTTGATTAGAATCTGACCATGGAATGCATTTGGTACCAGTCATTCCAGTTGCAAGTATTGGAAGATGATGACATCGCAGTGGTAGTACAATTGGATGTTAGGAATCCACACCCTATTCATAAACAGGCCAATTAAGCTGTGTGTATGGAGAGATCTCGTTACTATTTTTTCCCAAGATAAATTATTCAGGTAAAAAGGAACAAATACAGCACAGCAGACTGTAATTAGCCTCAAAATCCTCATTCTTACTGAATATTACCTAGGACAGAGAGACAAGGATGGGATTTTATGAAAGGGGGATTGTGCACTGAATAATATAATGCAGGGTTTCAGTACAAGCTGAAGATTATTGCAGCCTGATCTCAGAAGTGGTCAAAGAAAGATAAAAAAAAAAAGTCAAGAAAGATTTTGCTATAGCTAATCGTGAGTAACAGACAAAAGAAACAAACAAAAAAACCTTTTACTGGGCCCCAGATTAATCTCTGAATAACCAGATTGCTTCTTCTGAGAAAACTTCCAAGCCACTAGCAATAATTTCACTGAAAGAAACAGAAAATGTGAGGCTAACATTCTTAAAGCATGCTAAAAATAATCTAACCTATAATCTTGTTGTGCCATAAGCACGAATTGGAGTGTTCTAATAAACAAAAAATTGTCTTATTTTAAAATATTTTTCTGTCTGATTTACCAGACATTTTATAAAAATCTGCGGAAGGAAATTCTAAATAAAATTCAAAAAGGTTCTTCTCTTATCTAATTCATTGCCAGAAAAAGTGGAGAAAATATGCTAAGGCATGGGGAATTGCAGAATATTATCAGGCACTCCTTTCATTTTGAACAGCACAATAAGGCACCAATTGTCAGTGTTGACAAACACAGGGATCAAGTACACTGTGTAACAGTTTAACTATTTTAAGGTTTTCTCTATAGAAAACCAGCAAAACTAAAGTACTAACTAAATACCAAAGCAGTTGATGCAAGGCAAGGAGATGTGAAATGCTGTTTTTCTCTTGACTCACTTCAAGTTAAAGTTCCTTTCTATTTGGGCTATCTAGTCTAATGCATCTTTCAATACCTCTTTATTACCTAAAGAAGATAGTGTAATAGCATTTATCACAGGTGAAAAATTGTAAGGAAAAATTTTGTTTCTGAAGGCTTAATACCTAAATTTGATGTATAGATAGCTTTTAGCAGAAATTGTATCAGTGGAAGCAGTTATTAGTAGGCAGTAGCAGGCAGTATTTTAATTTGTTCTGGGTTAAATAGTTAGTCTGAAGGGGATGTTTGTCATGGAAGTCTGATCTTACCCAGTAGAAGTTTCATGTCTTCGTGTTATCCAGGTTATTTTTCCCAGCAGACACACTAGTAGCTGCTACTTCTGCCTGTGAAACTGTCAAAGAACAATAGGATGCTGCTGCTGAAAACCCTGTCACTAAAACCTAAGCTTGCTGAGAAGTCCCTCCAACTGGAAATGGTGGTAACTTTCAGGCCTATAAATGAAATACGTGTTTTCCAGTATTTCTATTGTCTTTGTGCAGGTTTATTATTTTTATAAGTATAGTTGATTAAAATGGCATTTTCTTTGTTAGGAATGGAATTCCACTGTGGAACAGCTCGCAGCTGAAGCACATAAGATTTTGCTTTCAGAGGACTATACAGAAAAAGAACATCTAAAGCTTTCAAATCAGAAAATCTGTCAGTTACGAGAAGAAGTGTGCTTCCATATAGAAGAAAGGAGAGCCCTGCTACAAGAGGCCAATGACTTTTTCCACTCTGCTGACAAGGTTGGTAGGAAGCCAAGTTTATAATAATAACTTGATAATACAACTGTCAGCGTGCTTTTAAAGGCTGATACATGTGAGTTTATGCAAACAGAGTTTTCTAAGCAATTTGGAATGGAAAATTACAAATCTGATTATCCTTTAATATGACCTTTCATCTCAAACTTCTATCCAAAATGGCAAATGCATTTAAATGTATTTATTCATTCTATTTATTTATTTATTTTCTTTTCAAAGTATATTGAAAAGAGTACTCGGTTTCCAAAAAAAGATAGTTGGGAAATACCATCTGGACTTTAAGATCATAGGTTCTGTCATGACAGCATTATGCTTTATGAAGATACAGGAGCTCTAAAATACCTAAACTTTCACAAGCCAGTGCCCTCCACAGTGGGGCTAATTAAAAATCAGACATGAGACAAATCAAGGACAATATACAATTTCTCATAGTGGGCACATTATATACTACATGGTCGAGACATGATGTAACATTGAAGTGGCCAATTAAAAAAGGCGCAAAACACCCTTAGTCTCAGCACAAGTGATAAATTAATGTCCATACCTATACTGAAGTCAGCAAGATAATGTATAGGCAATACATTCCATCACTGATGTACTCATGTGAAGAAGCAGTGATTCAGATTCCAGAATTATATTCTTGCAGCTCGCATATGAGAAAGCTAAGAGGGGCCTACCTGTCTACTGAATTCTATGCATTGCTTATTTTGTGTAGGTTGTGTTTAGGTACAAGCAGCTTTGACTGGTATGTCTGTTTAATTTTCTGTCTCTTCCTAATCTTATGTGGTGAAAATAGGCAAATCATTGACGACCAAAAAAGGAATATCTTAAAACTAAATTTTTAAGGTTTTCAGAAGGCAGCTGATAGAAAAGTTGATCAATAAAGAATTGAGGGGGCATAATATCATTAGTTCAAAACTATTGATTGATATACCAGGATAAGAGTAGATTTTTGTGAGAAAACAGAAGAAGGATCAATAAAGGTGGAAATAGTGTAATAACAGTCTTTTGTAAGGTTATATTACTGCTATTTCGTGTGTTGGTGGTGAAAGTGAATAATACAAAATCTTCAAGCCATTTTAAGTTGATTCAGAGCAGAATCTGTTTTAAAATGGGAACACAAACAGGGGTTTTTATCAACATATGATATCTTCCAGTGGAGTACTGTGGATCGATTGCCAGTATTTTTCTGCTTATAATATTTCTAATTTATGTGAGAGTAGTAAGCAATACAGGTACCTATATGGGCCTGGCAATTTTAACACCTATATGGGCATGGAGATTTTAATAGCATATGATTTTTCTATCCAGCAGGTTACAAAATAGACAGATGCCAAACTTTGCAACATTCCAGCTCATAATAGAGCATATTTTTTAAACAGTGAAGAAATTAGCTATTGAAACAATTCATCACAGTTGTGTTAGGGGTTTTTTTTTTTTTAACTGCAAAATGGTGATACTGTCTAGTTGAAGAAGTGATTTAGTAATTTGTTTGGCTTACTATGTAACAAAAGTAAGTTCTGTTATTACATATTGGCATTAATACACAACAATTTGTTAAAGGAAATTTATTTGAGTTAGAGCAGAAGGATTAAGTGAGGAACCCTCCATCTCATCAGTCTTTGATGTCA